GCAGTGATTGTGCAATAATGCACAAAGTTTAAACACTCCAACTGTCTGGTTTTTAAATGCTTGTGTTCTTGCCTAACAAAAACCAAGCATCCTTAGCAAGGCATGTGCAAACACATCTTCCAGCCATCTAACATAATTCAGAATTACAGTACAAGTGATCGTCAGGTGAAAGTGCAGTGTGTTCATTCTCTGACACTGGGTATTTTAACTCACAAGAGGCTTATTAATGAGGAAATCATGACAGTATGGAATGAAGTTCCCAGAAATGGCCACAGATCTTGCATGCATCCAAATTGAGCAGCCTGTTTGTATGAATCTTGAAAGACTCGAGATTTAGGAATTAATGTGTTAACAATGGATGTCCACTAAGTGCAAATTATGAAAAATCAGAAGTAAACTGTAAGTTGTGTAGGCACACGAGTTAGTGAGAGAGAGAAGGAAAGTAAACAAAAAATACCCCACTAACTACCCCTGAGTCTTTGTCCTTAGGAAATGAATAGGCTGTCACAAATCGATCACCAACATCAGCCACCAATAAACATTCACAGCTGGCCTTCCTATCTGGTCTCAAATGGTTCTTTCCTTTGTGTGACCTACACATTGCTGGTTTTAATCCACACACAAAAAGCTTTAAAATATAAAAAAAACACCAATATGGAGGTAAGAAAGCAGAGTTTTAATAAATGGGTGGTAAGGAAGACAGGACTAGGGAAAAAAAGTCATCTGCATTTTCCAAATTCTAAAACAATTTTGAGAGAACAGGAAAATATAAATTATGAGAGACTTGAACACATCATTTTCATTAAACCAAGACAAGTAACAAGTAGCGTTCTTCAAGATGAGTCTTCTCCCATTAGCAATGCACAGGCTTTTATGCTAGAAATTAAATACTAAAACTAGACAGTTGTACAGGAAGCATATTCAAAACCCTACTGGAAAACAAGTTATAGCTGCACTGGTTTTGGTTGGTTTTTAAAAGTCACTGGGATATTCAAACAGCTGTTGTAACAGACAACAGAAAGACTCACTAACATTACTTTCAATCTGAAACAAAATTATTACTGTAAAGCCAAAAATGTACCAAAAAATAAAATTTAATTCCCCTTATGTAGCATAGTAAAATGGAGAGCTTCTTTCAGAAGAAGTTTCCAAGCAGTATTTAAATTCAAATTTTTAGATGTAAGAAAAGAATAAAAACAAAAAAAACTTTATAAAATCCCTCAAGGATTAATTCTTTGGAAAGAGCAGCAAAAGGCTATTTGCAGCAAATTAGTCAAAAGGATTCTGTTCAGTGACTATAGCATTTTCTATAAACCAGTAACTGCTGCATACACAGCTAATGTAAACACGTGTAGTTTTTGATAAAACCATCTGCAATGCCTGCACTGTACTTCTACTGTTCTAGAACAGTTCAATCTCTTACTCTAAATCGTCTCATAATATTCAAGTATTTTGATCACAGCAGTTCTTTCCATTCATTTCAAGACAGCATATCCTTGTAGAGCTGTAAATATATATATATATATATATGTATAAAACCCTCCCATACAGGAAATTATCAGGGTTACCTAATTCTGTTGTTCACACAGAAAAATGTTACTGAGTTCTGCAGTTACACAGTTGTCAGATCACTTCCTTCAAAACCCTCTGCAATCAACTGTCTTTTCCAGATCTCTCACCATAGAGCTGGTTCTGTGCTGCCTTTTGGTTACTGTAGCCATCAGATATAACAAAGGAGACTCCATACATGTCAGGATGGCTACAGCTACATATACATGCACACACTCCTGTTTTTTGTGCCAGGTAAAGGAAATGCAGAACAAAGCTGTAGGACAGCCAGCTTCACCAGAAAGGTGATGTCCTCTTGAGCACCCTTACATTTGCTGTAGTATCTGTTCCACCTGCAGTGAGCTTTAAAATTCTTACACATGTGGATTTTAAAAAGAAGATCTCAAAACAAAACCCACTCTCCTCATTAAAACACCCTTTCAGAACTCTAGGGCAACTTTTTTTATATGTTTGGATTATGTTTACTTTTCCCTTCTGTCGCATTTTTTACACTGTAAGTGCATCATTCCCCTTGGGCTCAGCTTCTATTTCACCTTGATTCTTGTTCTCTTGTTTTACTTCTTTTGAGCTCTTTTCCTCCTCAGTTTCTGGTTTTACTACCTTTGAGTTCTGTTCTTCTGTCACACTTGATGGGTTTTGTTGTGTGTCTTCTTTGTTGCTCTTCACCACCTCCTGTAAATTGTATTTTCTGAACAGAACATAGTCTCTCACCACACTCAAGCAGCAGACGGTTTTTATTATTTCTACCACAACTGTGTATTGTGGATTATTAAGATCAACTTTGTTTTCTGGATTGAGGCTGCCCACAATTCCTGCAAAAGAAGATGCAGTTTAAAAGATGCTGGGAAAAGTGTTTCAGAGCATAAGTATACCTTATTGAAAGGATAAAAGTTAAGAGTGAGAAGGCAAGATCCTACTCATTTTTGTAATTGCTTAAAATAGCAGAACAGAGCAAGACTCTCAGAATACACCACCAGTAAGACTGGAGTAGCTGAAAAACTATCCCAATACAATTACCAAGAAACAAAATGCTCAAGTAAGGTGAAGCTATTTTATAAGTCAAAAATTCAACGGAAATAGTAACACGTTATTTCAATATAGCAGCCAGAGAAAAAGCCTGAGAACAGGTATTTCAAAGCACATTTAACTGACACTGCAAATTATAATCAATGTTCTCTCTTTTGCTTGTTGTCTCTTAAGACATCAACAGCAACAAGAAATACTGATGTCAAGCTTTTTTTAAGTCTTAGAGAAGCTTTTATAATTTGACATACAGGCTTTCAGCAACAAACATGTGTGCCCATTAAGATCACTTTTAACTGTCTGACCTATGCTGTGCATGCAACTGTGGGTTGTGGATATACTTGATCTGTTTCGTGTGAAATCCATACATACCTGCCAATTCCTTAATTACTTCTTCCCTACTCATATGACTGTTATTACGAGCTTTGTAAACAATCTGAAAAGTGCCCTTATTAGGGGCTTTAAACCAAGGCTCAAAAAACGTTTCTGTGTACTTTTTCATATCCTCCATGAAAGCCTTGCAAGTTCCAGAAATGGGCAGCATGCGCAGAATGACTCTTGTTTTCTTCTTTTTAGTGGTATGCATATCCTTTAATATATGGTGCACCAGGTTCTCAGGTTCTACAAGGAAAAGAGTTAGGTATGAGAAACAAATAGAAGGCATTATCTCCCTCCTTCCCCCTCTAAATAATAAGCTGGGGAAATGCACACTTGGCTTCATTGCTGTCAGCCTCAAATCCTTTTTATGTAAAGAGCTGATTTACTATACCAAAACTGGATAATCAAAGCTTATTTTGTGAAAGCACAATTCCTCTAGCCTTAGCTTCTCCATTAATGACAAAACTCAGTGGCACAGCCAAAGGGAAGGGGAAACACTATTTTTTTTATATACACGTGTTTCTTGGAAGACAGGCTCTGTGGCCTATCGCTAAGGGTGTTCAGAGCAGTTTGCATTACTCAGCATCAGCCGATGTCCCACCTATGCCCTGGGTTCTGATGAAGACCACGTTGTTGGCACCGCTCTCCACCGACTGGAACCGCCGCAGCTTCTGCTCCGTCGAGGCACGGATCTGGCCAACCTCCTTCTTCAGGGCCGCCTCCACGTCGTCCTCATCCTCCTCCCTGTCGCTTCCAGACAGCCTCTCCTCGTGATCTGAAAACTTCACACAGCCTGTCGGTGAGTACCGAGCCACAGCGCCCGCAGATCACCAGGGGCCGGGGGGAGCTGGGCACGGGCCGTTCCCGCAGCCAGCACAGGGGGTCGCGGACAGAAACCGGCCCTGGGGGGGGGTGTGGTGAGCACAGCCGGGCTGCTTCACACACAGAAAGGGAGAGGACAAGAGGCCTGGGGGCGCCGTCCCCGCACGGCGTCCGCGCTGCCCCCGCCAGCACCCGCCGGCCCCGCCGGCACGCAACCTGCTCGGCCCGTAGAGCTAGAGTCCCCGTACTCTCGAGCAGGCTGTAGAGCCCCCCACGACAACTTCGCGCTCGTTCATCGTTGCAAGGTGATGAGGGATGCCCCCGCATGCCGGCCTCAGCTGCCGCCCGCCGCCGCCGCGGGGCCGCTTACGGCCCGGCCAGCCGCCGCGAAGTGCCCTTGGGCCGCCGCTTGCGCGCCCCCGGCTCCGCCCGCGGCATGCGGGCAGCTCCGGCGCGGCACCGCCGCGATGGCGCCCGAGCCGACCCGCGCCCCGCGCCCGCCGCAACGGCCCGCACATGCGCCGCGCCTGGGCGGCGGCCGCGCACCGCCGCGGGCCCGAGGGGCGGCGGCGATGGGGTTCGGGTGCCGGGCCCGCGGTGACCCGCGCTCCGGGGCGAGCTCAGCCGCGGCCAAACGCCGTCCCTTATAGCCCTTGACGCTTTCGCTTCCCTCGAACTCTAGCCTGTGTTCATGATTCCGGAATTGAGGGGAGGGCAGGGAACGTGTTGCCTAAAATCGGCACTTAAACTTCTAAGACTCAGTCTTTGAGTTTTAGAAGCCAGGCATTCCTTATTGCGACGCCAGGTTCCCTGCGAATCATTTCGCCAGAGTGCAACACTGAGGTATCACTGCGACAGCTTATATGTCAATATTACATGATTATTTATTTTTCATTCCCCTCATTCTCATTACATAGTCATGATATTTCCCAACGCTCATTATCATATATGCATGTCCTTATAAGGCCTCTGAGGGTCTTCATCGAGGGTCTTGGTGCTCTTCTCTGTCTGAAACCCCCCCCAGCTTCTAAGAGACTGCTTTGTAAACCTGTTCAAGATGATGCACATGGTTAAAAAGTAACTGGGTGTTGCCTTGCTGGCTGCCTCAGTTCTCCTCCTCATTGTTTCTTTAAATCATTTGGCTTGGCTATGTGTAGTTTCTATGTTGTAAATACTATGAATTCTTGTTACATCTCTAAACCCAGTGGCTGAAGGGGAGCGAGCAGCCCTCAGTCCTGCACTGCAACGCCACATCCAACACCGACCCCTGCGCCCCTGGCTGGCGGAGTCCTGAAAGTGTCACAGTGTAGAGGGACCAGCTGAAAACAGAAGCTTTTTGAACAGGTAAATGGAAACCTGAGACTTTCCCTTGGAAGTTGTATCTGATAATCATTTGAATCACTTTTTGTTGGCACCCTGAATAGACTTCACTGCTGTATCTGCAAAGCATACATTTCTACATTGGCAAAGCAGAACATACTGTTTCTGTCTGTCCACAGCCTTCATGAATATCCAGCCCAGTCTGCACTTTCCGTTCTTCCACTAATCACCGTGGGTTGATTTGTTTCCCAGCAGTCAGTGCTGCAGCTTTTGAAGGCAGAGCTTAGTGGAAAAGAGAACACAACTGGCAGCCAGCTCCCTGCTGTGCCTCATCCACTACTGTGCTCCTGCACTGTAGGGTTCTCTCTATATAGGACGAATTTTGTTCTTGAGTCCTATTCGTTCCAGTTGAACTGATTATCAGACACAACTTCCAAGGGAAAAGTCAGCTGCAATAAGCAACACTATAAAAATGTTTCTGTAAGTCATAGACCACTTATAATAGCTGAACCCAAAATCCAAGGACTGTTTCTCATTCCTATGGGAAGACTGTTAGCGGGAAGATCTGAAGAAATGAACTGTGCTGGAAAGAGTGGAGAAAAAAATTAAGATACTTGGTGTTTCGTAGGATTTTTTATAAAGTAAGGTATTGCAGATTTACACAGTAACACCAAGTAAAAGACATGGCACTATATCATTCCTAGTTTAGGTTTGAATACACCCTTACTTGATTCCCACCATTTCGCTGTCCCAGATGCTACACCAACAGCTAACAGGACAAAAGCAGGCACTGGTACAAATGAAATGGGAAACTCAGGGAGGCAGGAGCACAACAGGTGATGGGAGTTAAAGTTATTTAATGAAGTGTCACCAACATCTCATCTTTATTGTTACTTAAAGGATAAAAAAAAAAACCAGTAGGAGTTTAAGAGGATACTATTGCTTCAAGAATCACTTTCAAGAAGTGCGACAACTTCTAAATAGATTTTTAAAAGTTAGTTATAGTCATCCCAAGTATATTTACAAAAAAGTGCAAATAAAATCTGTGTCATTAAAATTGTCTTTAAAGACTGGGCTAGTAAAGAATTTAAAATATATAATAAAGCAGAAATTTAAGATCTGTAGCAACAGCTGCTCATACTTTAATTTTAGCACTTACAGTATTACCTGTTCTCTCACACGTCATTAATGAGTTACTTCAGGATCTACTGATATTTTTGTGTGCTTCAGCAATTTCCATTTCTATCTATGTTAACCAAGAACTGTTTTGTCCCATTCTGAGAACATGTATCTGATATCATTTGACTGTCCTGATTACATCAAGCATGAAACTTAGCGAGTTTAAGATTCAGACAAAAAATTTTATCCATTTTCATGTTCTCATAGAGGGTCTAAGACATAAATAGCTTTTGTTGGAAGAATTTCCTAAATTACTAGAAACAGTTCTAAGAGAGGTCAAAGCATCCGCATTCAGGGTGAGACCATTGGATTTCTCTTTGAGAAATGCATATTCCCACTTGAAGTATCCACAACCTTTTCTATCACTGTTTTGCTTGCCAACAGGACAACAGAAAAACGCTTTGCCATGATTTGGGCCAGCATTTGACACACAGAGTTTTTTGGCTCTTCGACCGCAGTTGCACAGAGGGGGAGTTGGTTTTCCACTTCTCACAGCTCTTACACGTGGATTCAAGTTGACTGTGGAGTTGAGAATGGCAGGAGACACTTTGGGCAAATTTGAACTTCTCAAAGGTAAGGAATGATCAAAAGATGAAGTCTTCTCTTGATATATAGCAAAAGACTGTTTTTTTGCTGGTGGGAATGTTTTTGGACTAGTTGGCTTTCTTTTAGGAACCTCTGAAGTAGAGTAATTTCCAGTTAGTGCTGAAATGGTATTTCCCTTTGCAAATGGTAACTTAAAAGCTGAAAAATTTGAAGTCTGCCTTTGCACTGTTCCTACATTATAGATTGTAGTATCAGGACTTTTGTAAATGACAGGTTTCAGAGGTTCCACGGATACTGCGCTTTTCTCCAAACTCTGATTATCTGAACTTGCCACAGCCAATTCTTTTGAAATTGTTTTTTCTTCAAACACTGTTAAACTATCTGTACTCGAGTCATCCTTGAGCTGAACAGAGTCTGACTTTTGTTCATATTGAGATTCTGGTATTAAAGCAACATCTTCCCAGTCTGCCAGCAGAGACAAGCAGTCAGCACTGGTACTGATCTCCTCACTGGAGACAGTAACTGAGGGGATGGTAGTGGAGACGAGCACCAGTCCTGGTCCCTGTACTGGGGGGCTGTATCTGGCTGTACCCAGAAGCTGCCCATTGCTCAATCCCTGCTGGATGCCTGTTGGTGCAGGACTGGGAGATGGCTGTGCCAGCTCAGGAGGAACAGGAAATCTCTCAGTAGATGCTGCTGAAGGGCTTTGGCATTGAGCATGGAATTCAGTCCTTGAGCTGCTGCTGGGTACAGCATGGACATCTGCTGAGGTACAATTGGTCTGTTGTTCCTTGGTCTGTACATTAGAAGTTATGTTGTTTCCAGCAAAAGAGTGTTTGTTCTCAGCCAGAGAGTTTGTTTCTGATGTTCTATCTCTAGATGTTTCAGGCCTGCTCTTACTTCCCAGTGGAGTCTTGTCAGTGAAGTTTCCAGCCAGTGTTCTGGCAATTAAATTACCCTGCAGACGTGCCTAGGGAGTCCGTAAAAAAAAGGAAATTTTGGAGAGTGAATACCCAGAAGTTTTGGGAATCAATGCACAAAATTAATAAGCGTATCAGCCTACGGATGTTCTGTTCAAATCAAAGTCAGGATGCTGGGTTTATTATTTGAATAGCTCATCTTTCATCTGTATTCCAAGCTACCAAGCAAGTAGATGAAGTAGTTACTAACCTTATCCAAAGATTTAGTAACCCTCAGCACACATCCATCACAAATCAGCCTCCAAGCAAGACGAGCAGTATTCCGAGAATCGTCCAACCCTTCAAAAGTATGATTATATTAATAACTTCTTTTAAAACTGCTACTGGGGACAGTTCTAATAAGAGGAAAAATGTGATCTAGGTAAGCCTTACATAAATGACAAGGAGTCACAGAACTCTGACACAGTTATCTAATTCAAAAAAGGAAAGTGGAAGTAGAAAATTCCAAAGAATTCCCTGTGCTGAAACATCTGAAGGACCAATCCACAGACTTGAATATCTATTCACAATTTTAAAAATCCTTTCCCTGTTTTATTAATCAAGTCCAAAAATATAAATTCATATTGTGCTGGAATTTTCTCACATTAACATGCTGTTCAGAGCTCAAGTTTTCTTATCCTCCCTCCACCTCTTTTCTTTTGCATCCTAGCAATTCAGAAATTGATCTTATGAACATGCACTCAGTAGCACTAAGAGAGACTTCAGAAAAAAGTATGAGTCTAGAAATAACTAACTCTGATCTTTGAAGCATTTTGCCTTTCTTGTTTTGCTGTTCCTTTGGACAGAACATTGTTGTGCAAATTCATTGCATAACCTGGAAACAATTGTTACTATTCAGAGTAATGACTAGCTACTGACTCGCTGCTTTAGTTTAGCTAACTAAACTAAATAGGAAATATTTAGCTTTATAAAATAGATATTAATATGCATTATATACCTATATTAAAATGAGGATCATCATATCACTTACCAGAATGTTCCCGTCCTACAAAAGCTATCCCCAAATCCTGCAAAGCTCCATTTAGCCCTTTAGGTTTCCTATTATAGAAGGCCTAAGGAAAGAAATGCAGGTGCTCAACATGAAGCATTTCGAAACTTCTTCCTAGTCAAATGAAAACCATTTCAGAAATATCACCTTATGAATAATAAGTCTCACAAGTCAATTGTGCAAGTTGGGTGTTTGCATTGAGGATAAGACCGTGACTTACCCTGTAACAAATCAGAATGGAAAGAACCATGAATCCCCTCTCTCAGTCTTAAGCAAATCCATTCTGTCTGCACTCTATGGCTTACATTGATGAAGGCCTTAACAGACCAGCATTGAAGAATATAACTATAAATAATACCTTGACATATTTAAATATACAGTCAAAGGCACAGGCATTAATATATTTGACATAGGTATGGGATTTCTTTTTAAATGAGAAAAAGTGAGTTTTGCTACTTACTCCCAGTATCTGATTTGATCACTAGGAAGGGGCAATATTCACATTGTTTATTTTTAGAGACCTAGTTCTGTTGCACAGGTAGACTTGTGGGTCACCCTCTGAAAGTTTTCTTGATTACACAGGGAAAGGTACATTTAGGTGCTGTTAGCCCCCAGGTTAGAACTCTGTTCTGGTATAGACTATGTAATAAAATATACATTCATTTTTTCAGTGTTATCCATACTATTCAGAATGTACTCTCTGGTCTTGACCTGTAAGTACCTCTATGATGATAACTTTCAACACAGCAATGCAAGGCAGCAATAAGGCACTCAAAACAAGGGATGTCAGGAAACAAGCAGAGCAAAAGGTTTAAAGAAAGGAAGAGCAGCTCAAAATTTTCTTGAGATTATCAATCATTTATCAGACAACAATCTTTTCCTACCATTAAGATTTCTATTAAAATTCACACAGTTCTAGGCCATGCAGTTGGTTATTGAGTGATAACAACATGAAAAGAAAACAGGTTACAGGTTACTCTGGTCACTGGGACATACAGCACTGGCTTGCAAGCTCAGGTATAGTTACCCTTTGGGGTGATAATGTGGATATAAATGTTTCAGTCTATAGATATTCTCACCCTGTATGTTGCTTTGAGATCAATCCAGGAATTCAAAATGTCAGGTTTTCGCAGCTGCTTCCTTTTACACTCGTACTGCAGACACACACCCAGGTCCCAGTCTGTGCAGGAAAACCACAGTCAATGCACCACTACAGCACTGGCCTAAAATTCACATACTGTGGCCTGTGTGGCCCTTTATGTGGCCTAAAATCTGCATAAAGAGACATAACATCGATAGGAGAGGAAGCACAGGCTGTGAAGTCTTTGTCCACAGAAAACACTGGGGTTGCTGCAGTGGGACATCAGGAGCAGCGAATCCCTGCTGTTAGTAAATGACTTCAGACAAGTAAAGATCTCAATCACTAAATTGTTTAGACAGATTAAGAACGGTGACACAGTTCACTATGTAAAGCAGAAAAATGTAACAATGTCAGACCCTGGAGACAGAGGTGCTGCAAACACATCAGCATTCCATATTTTCAGCCTTATCTCAAAATTGCACATTTTTAATACCTAATACCAGGATTTTGGCAGAACAGAAGTGAAGACACAGTCTCACTAGTGCCACCAAATGTTATTACTCTGCAGAAAAAGCAAATGAAAATATTATTTACCTGTCCAAGTAACAAAGGTACAAGCTTTTGCTTCCGAAGAGAAATTACTCTGAGTATCCGTACTGAATATAATTTTCTTCTCCTTTTGTATCTTTTGAATCCATTTCATAAACTGTGATAAGCAAATGTTGAGAGGGACCCCTTCGTCAACTTGATCCTTTATGAAACAGAACAACATGTGTGTCTTAGAATGCAATGAAATTCATTTGAGGTTTATTTCTTTTTAGCCCTTTAAAGGCCTCTTTAAATAAAATTGTAAACAGCAATTATACAAGTGTAAAACAATGCTAAATCACAATTTATACCTGTGTTATGCCAGTTAGTTCTGTACAGAATTCAGAGAGAAGAGGATGCTCCTGAGGCTGGACATACATGTGGAACTCAGATTCAATCTCTCCCGTTGAAGTGTTTAACAGGACTGCTGGAAATTCGACTGCGACAAACACAGAAGGAGAAGAAAAAAAAAAGAGAAACAACCCAACACACAAAGAAGCCAGAAAGGTTAAAGCTGTCCAGAGAAATTATTCCATTTATATATGGGTGCCTTCCAACTCAGCTGAATCTATGATATAATATATAAATATGATTTATATATATATTTTAGATAGACAGATAGATATAATTTAGATATTATATTACTCCATTAAACTGGGGCTGAAACGTCAGGATTCAGAAGGAACATAGTGTAATGAAGACACAACGTTCGAAGGCAGACCGCGGCC